AACCTTTGAAATCCTCTTGAAAAAATAAGAAAACACACAGCAGCAAAGTTCTTCCCTTGTGCGCACACGTATGAGAGAAATACACGCGGGATGCAGATTATATTCATCAAACACATTTCTCTTGAACTGTAGGGTTGCGCTAAGGCAGCGATGGCAAACCTTTTAGAGAAGAGTGTCCAAACCGCAACCCAAAATCCACTTACTTATTGCAAAGTGCCAACACTGCAATCAAACCTGAATACTGAGGTTTCAGTTTTAAAAAAACAACTCATACATTAATATCTTTTGTCTTCAAAGAAGAGTAAGCAGGCTGCGGATGTAGCTCAGTGGTGCTGCGCCTGCCTGGCAGACACAAGATTCTGAGTTCAATCCCCAGTACCACAAAAAAAAGAAAAGCAAGTAGCACATGTGCCATTCCTTCGCTATCACTGCTCTAGGGGCTTCACGGAGCTCAAGTCAGCACTGCAAAGGGGAAGAATGGAGATGTACACTCCTGAATGACCAGCAGCGGGAAATGGGTGACTTCTCTAAAAGCTGGCTAGCTCTGTCCCACTTAAGACTCTCTCCGTGGGCCTTTTATGCTGCTCTTAGGGAAGATCTGTGTGGAAGTGGAACTGATTTCTCAACTTACTGAAGACTATTTTAGAAGAGTGGAACTAGAGACATGGTAATGAAAGTAAACTACCTGAACACTCTGTGGAAATCAGATTTTGTTCTGCATTTGCCTTTTAAGATATGGCACAACTACCAGTATCAGTTTCATAGTAACATTTTAAATTATTGCAAAATTGATTAAATTATCACAATAATCTTCCAAAACATTATGCCATTACTATGGTAACTTACCTGTGAATGTGACTCATATGTTTACCTCTAATGCAGAAGGAAATCACTACAGACAATGCAAAGAATGAGACAGTTTCATACTGAGGTGAGAACTGGAGAATGGAAACATTTCCCAGATTTTTAAAAACTCATCTCCAACTTATTCTCTCAAGAGAATATCATGGAGGATTGTATTCACTGACAATATTGCAGGCATTATTTTTACAATAAAAAGCTAATTTCTTAAAATTATCATTTCTAGGCCAGGGATTTAGCTCAGTGGTTCAGTGGCCTGCCTTGCAAGTGCGAGGACCCAAGTTCAATCCCCGGTACCAAAAAAAAAAAAAAAAAAAAAAAATTATCATTTCTACCCCCATTTTTCAAAACCAGAAAAGTTTATCCCAACAAATACACCACATCAGCTACTTCAGGTTGGTGTCCCAGCATCTCTCATTTCTCTCATATTATCATTCTTACACTTCCTCCTTCTTTCTCTTCCCCTTGCCTACTTCCCAAGCTTATCCACAACGTTGAAAGGTTTAAGATCTAACTGTGCTGTAAAGATATGAATCTCTGATTTAGACACTCCTGGGCAAAATGAAGATGGTGAATGTCTTCAAATAAAGACCCTGACCACCTCCATGATTCTGTGAGCCAGAAGACCTCTATAAAACAATGAATTACATTCAATAAATAACAGGTCTCTAAATAGTCTGAAAATAGTAAAAAGTACCCTAAACAATACCTTCCACACAGACGACGCTGGAGACATCTTAGTCTCCCTCCCCACCTTCCTGAACTTAAATAGGAACTAACTGCCCTGGAGCTGAGGCAGCTGCCCAAAGGTGCGGGTGAGATAGATAGCAGGGTTCTTTCCCTCCGGTCAGGTCAGACTTCACTCTGATACTCCCCCTCTCCTGTGCCACGGTGGCTACCCCATTTGGTGACATGTGCCAGTACCGGTAACTGTGCTACAATTTTAATACCATCACATATGTATCTGCAGCTTTTGTTCAACTGACAGTTGATACAAATCTAAATTCTTTCTGAAGCTGGGTACTTTTTTTTAATCTAAAACTTCTTTAATACAACTGCAGCATGAATAGAAAATTAGGTTTGGAAATAACTCCTATGAAAGCATTACGGCTGCCCTGGATGCAAGCAATGGGAGATTGTTCAAAGCTTCACGAGGGACACACGAACATCACTTGAACAGTTAGTAACACAACCGAGATCCAAAGAAATAGGTGGTGCAGCACCAGCACTAGAAGTGGGCTTGTTCCTTATGGACGAAATGCCAGGCAATAACCATTTTTTAAAGCACAAAATGAGCTTCTAAATAGCTCTTAGGGGGGCTATTTCTACTGTTCTCCAGTGGTTTGTTCTGGGATCAGTACTTTTCACCGAGGAACTAGGCAATTACCATGAAAAGCAACAAACTAAGCACCACAGGTATTCTCTCCCACACAGATCTCTAGAGTCAAATGTAACATTTTAAGAATATATTATGAAAGACATTTTTTTACTACAGGATGTTCCATTCCTCTGTGACAACTCTGTTCTACACTTTTTGACCCAATGTTTATTGCTGGGAAGGTCTGAGAGGATAAAGCTTAAACTTCTAAGCAATTATCCCTGTGAAGGGGAAACTGAGAACCAGCACTAGGGGAAAGGGACTCAGCATCATGTTCTGCTTGGACACAATTCAGTCGCCCCCTAAGAAGCATTTTTAAGATATACTGGGGATCTAAGATTTCTAAAGAAAACCAAAACATACAGGATTCAGTTTGAAGTGCTCTCTACTGTTCGTTTTACACGAAGCCATAGGAAATACGCACTTGTTGACACTTTCCAGTTCGAGTCCCTGAATGCCTATTTTACACGTGTAACTTTTTATATGCAGAGTACATTACTGTCAAACATATACACATCTCCAAATATGACAATGACAATGCGTTTTGGCTGGGGATTTAGCTCAATGGTTCAGTGGCCTGCCTTGCAAGCGCAAGGACCCGAGTTCAATCCCTGGTATCAAAAAAAAAAAAAAAAGCCTTTAAAAGTCTATAAATGAAAATAAACAAATTGACTGAGATAGCCATGATGGATTCACTTCATTTTCTGGCCCAGATTCACTATTATTTGTATATAACACAATCAAGCACTGTGTTGAGCAAAGAAGGCTTTTTCAGTGTACATAAAAAGCATGGCAGTGAACTCATTTGTTCCAAGCCTAAAACAGAATAGGAAAAATTCACGTATTTTAGAACATAGTAATAATGGTGTATGCCTGGTGGCATGGTCTATTTTTAGGAGTTACATTGGGAAACTTCCTTTTTGAATCATGTAGGGAGAAGAAAGAGAGAGAGAGAGAGAGAGAGAGAGAGGGAGGGAGAGAGAAAGCAAGCAAGCAAGCAAGAAAAGTAAGAGAAGGGTAACTACAGACTTACATCATCCTTAAAATAGTCCTGCCCAATATGAACTAGGTAATGTCTTCCCAAGACCCGGTAGTTTCAAGTCGCAAAGGCTTGTTTCTACATTTGTATACCTAACTAAAGAGGTTTCTGGGGAAAAAAAAAAAAAAGCTAGAAGGAAGAATTTTGAAAGTTTTCACCACAAAAAAATGAAAAATGTTTGAGATGATAAATATTAACCTACTATAAGCCATACCAAATATAAACATGTATGGAACATGAAAGAGAGAGGAGAGGAGAGGAGAGGCAAAGGCTTGTTTCTACATTTGTATACCTAACTAAAGAGGTTTCTGGGGAAAAAAAAAAAAAAGCTAGAAGGAAGAATTTTGAAAGTTTTCACCACAAAAAAATGAAAAATGTTTGAGATGATAAATATTAACCTACTATAAGCCATACCAAATATAAACATGTATGGAACATGAAAGAGAGAGGAGAGGAGAGGAGAGGGGAGAAACTGGAAGATTTTGTGGCTTATTTCAATACATTTTAAGTCTTAAAAATATTTTTTTTCAATAGCAGTAGAAATAAGCAAAGAATAATTTTAAGGCACCAACAGAGATTCTAAAGTAACTCAACCTAGGGCTGGGGATTTAGCTCAGTGGTTCCACCGCCAACCTCACAAGTGCAAGGTCCCGAGTTGGAGCCCCAGTACCACAAACAAAGTAACTTAACCTAGAACTGGGAATTGGAGTACAGTTCACAGATAACGCTGGATGTGATGCTCATAAAGGCTAATGTACATCAATTATGCCACCCATCAAAGTGACAGCCCATCAATACTTCTCCCTGGACACTGTCCAGGACTTGATATATTTTTTAAAAATAACAGTGAACAATGCTGTGGCATGTATGTCAAAAGTTATACATTTCCACTACCAAATCCTAGATTTTCCACTGGCATAACTATTCTTAACCTTTGTTTTAAATCTCTTGGGAATGAGCTTTACCTCAGACTTAATTGATTTAAAAAAATACAAATTCCTAACATAAAGGAGCTCCTTATTTGTCAGTGTTCTTTTTAGCCCTCTCCACTCTGCTCTATGGAGAGAAGCTATAAACAACCCTTCAAATAGCAATAACAACTACAGGGCCAAGGATACCTGCTCTTACTTTACACTTACGTTTAATCAAATATGATTCAAATTGTGCTATAGAAAACTCCTTTTTATTCCCTGAAAAGTAGGTTAAATGAAATATACCACAACAATATTTAGCCTTCTAAAACTCCCACTCTTTTCTTGCAGGGTCCAGAGCACAGCTGAGGCCAAGGACTGAGAATTCTTCATTGCTCCATGTTCTCACTGGAAAATTAAAGGATTTCACTGTACTCACACACAGTAAAACCTAGCTCTGGGGGCCAGGTATTAGCTCAGTGGTTCTGCCGCCTGCTTTGCTATCGCAAGGTTTCAAGTTCAATCTCTGGCACCAAAAAACAAAACTTAGCTCTGGATGCTGTTCATGAAATTTAAGGTAAATATAAAATAGTTGCAAAAATGACTGAAAGGCCACATGCAATTTACTAACGCTGAAAATTGTACAGAATATTTATACAAGTTAAATCTATCCAGAAACCAGCAGAATTTTAATAAAATATATTTTCTTTAGATCAAGTCTAAGTGAAGGAGAGGAAGAGGATCAAACTGAAAAGATAATGAAGTCTATACAATCAACTTTGACTGATCCCAAACTGCAACCATGTCTTACCTTTTCAGGTCAACAGTTGTGACACTAAACACAACACCTTTGAGCCAAAGAATCATGAAGAGCCTCTGGGAAAAGGGGCAGTTTCCTATGCTTTCACCATCACTGCCAGCCTGCAAAACAGAATTAAACATTAAGAAAAAAGGTCTAAATGATGCCCCTGAAAACAACAGAAGTTTTTTGTTTTGTTTTGTTTGGGTACCGGGGATTGAACTCGGATCCTTGCGCTTGCAAGGCAGGCCACCGAACTGCTGAGGAGCTAAATCCCCGGCCCAACAACAGAAGTTTTTACAAATTTTATCAAGTGTACTACAAGACAGGAAAAGGTGCTTTGTGGAAAGAAGGGTAGAAAGCCAGCTTTTTACTACTTTGGTCTTTTACTTGCCTTATAATATTCTGAGAAATAAGCAGTCCAGCACAGTGGTGTCCAAGAGAACGCTCTGCCATGACCGGGAGAATCTGTATTACCATTGTCCAGTGTGGTGACCATTAGTAATATCTAGCCCGTGAGTACTCAAAATATGGCTTTCTCCAATGTCCCCAATTTTTTGTTTATGTATCTCTAATTTAAATAGCCACATGTGGCTGCTCTGACCCAGGGAATACTTAAGTCTACCGTGAATTTTATGAGATATACAAAACTAGGTCTTAATCTGACAGTACTCTTCATAAAGTAATACAAAAAGGAAACTTGTAGATGTGCCTGCCAACCCAGCTCACATTCAACAAAAAATTCATTATAAATATTGCCTATCCCATTCCTTCAGGGAGCCAAAAAAAAAAAAAAAAAAAAAAA